TATCAAAGAACATAAGAAATGGGAGTTCCACATTTTAGCCCCAAAGGGGCTGCGCTGGCAAGTTTTTTTTTACAGTGTAGAGTGAAACCATCTATAAAGGTAGGACTGTTTAAAAAGAATATTCATTTACACAAGGGGGGAAAAGTGGTTTCTGGGAGTTCCTAGTGTTATAAATTAGATGCGCACGAAATGAACACAAGAAAAGAGGCGCTAAAATGAATCTTTTGACTTGATCTTGAAAATAAAACGAATGAGCTCTTGCTGTTATTTCTTTTAAAAGACAAAACGTAACACTAGGAACCAAGAACCGCTTTTCACCCTTGTTCCTGACGGTTTTTGACAGCTCTTGACTAGGAACTGTCTGCGGACTGTCAGAAACTATGTGAAACCGTCAGAATCCATTAGGAACCACCAGGAACTCACCGGAACCTATAGGATCCAGGAATCTATAGGTGTCTGGTGATGTGTGACAGTTCCTAGAAACTCCAAAAAGCTTCCAGAAACCGCTTTTTCCATCTTGGTCAGGAACCACAGGATCCAAGGAATCAGGAACCGCGTTTTTCCCCTTGCATTTACATATCCAAAGAATTGTGGACTGATAGTTTTGTCATGCATAATATGAGCGCATACAATGGAAAAAAAAGTTAATAATCAATAAAGAATGTGATACCAAATGCAAATTACTGATTCAAATATCAATAGATTATAACACGTTTAACATTCTGTCAAAAAACATATTGAATCAAAGATAAATATTCTGAAAGTATACTTTACACTTTAATATCAATAGATTATTTGTTAATAGTCGTGCAGCTGGTTTGAGCAACAATAATCATAACTGGAATTTATACATTATTTCTTGATCATATAAGACAACGTTCGTAGATGGATTTCTAAATTTTTACAACTAATTTCAGAGATAAAAATCTGTTGGTTTATGGTTCATATATTATAATATTTGTTCTTCAAAAAGGCACAAAGTATTTACATATTAAGGCTAGATAATCGTGAAATAACATTGTGAGTAAATTCAGATGACATGTATTTTTTAGAATGTTGTGTTGTGTTGAGAAAGTAATGTCTTTTCAAAAGTTGTTCACTTGGCTAGTTTTGATCAACTTTGGTTTACCTTATTCAGAAACCTTTCGTTTATATAATACTTATTTTAACTTTCAAGAACAAGATATTACTGAACATGATTGTATCTACTACTCAAATGCACTCTTTCATAGTGCAGATGACTGGTGGTCATATTGTATTCGCTTGGATGCAACGTCAACAATTGAAAAAAGTATTATACCTGATGACACACGAGGAAAACGATACACGTTTGGCGAATTACGCGAACAAAACATCAGTAGTCAACACCTGTATAATTGGAATGCTCCAATAAATACGGTAGAATTGTACCAGCTCTTTCTGAATCAACTAACGGACAGAAATGAATATTTTTATAATTGTTCGACACCATGGTTCGGCGTTTTGTGTCAGTATTCATTTGATTATGCGGAAAAGACAGAATTCACAAGTATAGTAGGCGATGTGTTTGCCTCTAGAAGAAATATTTCACCGGAGAAAACTTATAACGTATGCTATATAGAGTTGACTTGTTCTAGAGGCTCAAGTTTATGTCTTGAATGGCGCGAGATATGTGACGGAAGAGTTGATTGTTTCAATAACGGTGTAGATGAAATAAACTGCCACCTACTTGAATTGAACGAATGTTCAGAAAATGAATATCGATGTCATGATGGTACGACATGTATTCCTTCTATATTTTTTCGTGACGGGCAAATTGATTGCATGGATAGCAGTGACGAATCGAAAAACGTTAGTATTAGTTTCAGCGATTGCCACAAGAATCCATTGATAAAATGTGAAGAATCAAGAACGCTTTCTTCTGCTTTGCTTTCATGTGGAGATGGAAGTATTTACAAACCAAAGGGTGTAGAAGTCTGCAAAAATGGCCGATCTGAACTTATCTTTAATAACATGATGTTACGAAATAACATATCCAGCACACAAAATGACACTTGTTGGCAAGTAATCGCATGTGCGTTCGAACTAAGTGAAAATATGAACATTTTAAATTGTAACACCAATAAAAGTCGACAGTATGAACGAATTGAACAAGAGTGCGAAAAATTATTTTTCTTTCCACCACATGCCATAGCTTTCGGCAATATGCATTTGGCGTATATATCCAACCGAACTACCTGGGAAACCCGTATAGATCCTGACTATGTGTGCTATGATGAAGTAATTTGTCAATTTATCTTTCGCCCGATACTCTATATTAACAAACAAGCTTGTCTACTGTTTGCTGATCTTCTATATTTACTTCCGAATGAACATATCATGCGAAGTTGGGAAAAACTCTTTGTCAATATACTGGTTTTATCCCGCGCATGTCTACCCCAAGTAAAAGACATAAATTTTTTAAAATCTCTTTTGTTTCAATGCCCCTTAACGCCTCTTCAGTATATTTCGAACCATCGATTAATTGATGGTGACGAAGATTGTCTTGGTGGCATTGACGAACATACTTCGTCTTCAAACAAAAGTTGTTCATTAGTAGAGACATCCGGTTATCGATATCGATGTTCGAATAACGCGGCAACAGAAATATGTTTATCACCCTTGCTTGTCGGTGATAACATCGCTCAATGTCCAAACAGCGATGATGAACCGTCAAAGATAAATAGCTGGCCTATGTTTACAGATGATTATATTACATATCAACAAATTTGTAACGGATGGGAAGAAATTAAACCCAATAAATTTGATGAAACGGATGAAACTCAGTGTGAAATGCTTTGGCCATGTCGAAATCTATATACTACTTGCGATGGTACTTGGAATTGTCTTGATGGAAAGGATGAGCTAGGTTGTGATTACGCTAGGTCTTGGCCTGTTAGCTGCAACACCTCAATGGAGCATATTTGTGTTCTAAGATCTACTGAACAGCTTGGTTGTTTACCGATTTACCGCGCAAATGACGGTATCATTGATTGTATCGGTGGTTCTGATGAACCTACTTGTCGACAAATACCTCGGCATAACTTTCAGTGTTACCAATACTCGTCAGAACGGTGCATCTCGTTAGATGATCTATGTTCAGTTACTATTGACTGTCCAATGGAACGGGACGACGAACGTTTATGCTCCGATCCTACTATTTTCTCCAGCTGTGTAGCTTGCAAATTTCTAGATATGTGTACCAAGAGAATGGAATTCTTGTGCCAACTCAATCGTCTAAAAGTACTTTCAACGAAATTTTTTACTTTGACCCAAATCTATTTGGAGACTGCGTACAAAACTCAAATGTATATGTTGGATGAAACTAAAGCGATTGCTGAAGAAAATGAAAACTATTCCGAAGAATTAATGAATGCTCATCATGTCTGGAGCTGCAATCGAGGTATATTAATTAATGTTAATGGGCTAGAAAAGGAAGCATGTCTATGTCCGCCAAGCTATTATGGATCACATTGCCGATTTCAACGACAGCGTATTACTGTGAGCATGCAGGTATCAGTACCAGTGGGAGTTATTACCTTGCAATTTATAGTTTATTTACTCGATGCTAATACTCAGCGCATCATTTCATATGAACAATTCCAATATTTGCCACAAGCAGGTTGTGATAAGAAACGTTATATATATCTTCTTTATGACATAGGATTACAAAAAAGTGACAGTGCCATTCGAATAGATGTTTTTACCGTTCATCCTTTGGAGTACCGTGCTTCTTGGTATTTCCTTGTTCTGTTTTCGTTTCTACCAGTTCAACGGTTGGTTGTTCGATTGATCGTACCAGATCAACAACCAATGCCGACAAAAACAGTCCCATCCAAATGTTTGCATGGCAAATACTTTCAGTACATGAATAGAAAAGATTATTTCTGTTACTGTGAATTGGGTTGGATGGGAACGTTTTGCAATAAACCTAACAAATGCAATTGTTCTGAGAAGAGTCTTTGTATTGGTTCACTGAAAAATGAATCAATCTGTGTATGTCCTCCAAACCGAATTGGTCCGCAATGTCTTATTGAAGAACCAACCTGTATTTTGCACAGTTGTCAACATGGAGGAACTTGTATCCCTCTAGATGTTAGAGCAACAAATCCCAACGAAGGAAAAGTACCTTACTTATGTCACTGTACAGAGCAATACGACGGGTATTTATGCGAAATTTCCAAAGGCAGAATTGAGATAACGTTCGATCAAATCGATATTCCACTGTCAATGATCATACATTTTATTACTATAGTCGAAAATGATTTACCCTTGAGAAATACTCTTTTCAAAAAGCTTTCACAGTTACATAAGGGAATAGTGACTTTATTCACGTCAATTTCATTTAATATAGTTTATGCTGAATTTTCAAACAACTACTACCTTTTCGTTATACAAGAGAAATATCAGAAATATACGAATATATCATCAACTATTATGCCATCGAATCGATGTCCTCATGTTCGAGAATTATTAAATCCGAACATTAATTCACAAAGAAAATTGACATATATTAAATATTATCATATTCTGTGTCAGAACTATTCCAACCTACATTGTTTCTATGATGAGAAGCAAATGTGTTTATGCATGAATGATAATCGTGAAGCTAACTGTTTCTTGTTTAATCACAACATGATTTATGATTGTAATGGACGTAACAAATGTAAAAACGGCGGTCAGTGCTATGAAGATGATGTTAATTGTCCACAAGTATCAATATGTCAATGTCCTGAATGCTTTTATGGTTCTCTTTGTCACTTGACAGTTTTGGGCTATGGTTTAACTCTTGATGCTATTCTCGGATATCACATTGATCCATATGCCACTATTGGTCGTCAAGCTACAATTGTTCAAATTAGTATGATAACGAGTGTGTGCATGTTTATTATAGGATTGATAAATAGTCTTTTGTCGATTATTACTTTCATACAAAAGAGTCCACGTGATGTAGGTTGTGGTTGGTATTTGTTGGCATCTTCTTTCATTTCTCTTCTGAATATAACAACATTCGTTGGTAAATTCTGGTTTCTTATCGTGATACAAACGAGTTTATTACTCAATCGTACAATTATATATATTAGCTGTATCACTATTGAATTTTGTCTCAAAACTCTACCAGCAATAGGTGATTGGATGAATGCTTGTGTTGCAATCGAACGAGCTTGTAATGTAATATTTGGCCCTCAATTTAACAAGAACAAAAGCAAATATTATGCCAAATTTGTCATTATCATTGTTGTTGTGTTAACTGGAGTAAGTTCTATTCATGATCCATTACATCGACAATTGATTAGTGATCCAGATCAGAGCCGATTATGGTGTATAGCAAGCTATCCATCTCATTTGTTGAGATATAATTCTACAATGAATATTTTACATTTCATTATACCTTTTCTCATCAATTTAATTTCTGCTCTCATTATCATTATTATGATGAGCCGTAAACGTTCAAATATCCAACGGAAGCAATCGTAAGTGTAAAGTTATGTTTGAGACATTTCTCGTCTAATCTATTATAATTTAGGTTCAAAATGCATTTACGTGATCAATTTCGTGAACACAAGCATCTTCTCATTAGTCCTAGTCTACTTGTTCTTCTTACATTACCGCGAATAATCATATCCTTTACTTCCAGTTGTATGAAATCTCCCCGAGAGCCATGGATTCATCTAGCTGGTTATTTTACAGCTTTTATTCCATCTCTAGTCACATTTTTTGTCTTTGTTCTTTCATCGAAAGCTTACACCAAAGAATTCTTGAAGGCAATGAACGACTATAGAAGAGCAATTGAACAGCGATTATATTTTCGATAAACTAGTTTTACTTTTCCTTATATATGTGTGCATAAATTATATAAATATAAAGAAGACCAAACTTTCTCTCATAACTAGAATTGGTTTCTTTTGGTCTGTTCACGTTAATATCTACAAAGATAGACAAATATTTGGGAAGAAAAATCAAATTTTCGTAATTGTTCTAATATCAATAAAAATTTGCGGATGAACACGAAGAAGTAACATAGAGATTCATTTGAATGCTAATAATATAAGTTACGTTTATCATGGATCCGTGAAAGTTAAGCACGAAATAATCAGCACGAATATTAAGTGTATTCAATAATTTTTTTTCGAATTTATTTTGGAAAAAACTAATTGATTGGATATTTCAATGATATATTGTACGCGATTGAGTCAAGTTGAACTAAGACATCTCCATGAGGATTGGTTACAAGATTCAATAATCGTCTTTCGAGTCGTTCATTTCCTTTTTTCTTTTTTGGTGTTTGACTAGCACAAATGTGTAAAATATCCGCATGGATACCGTTTTCTTCATCAATTAACTTCTGCAAAAAAACCCATAGTGTTGGACGAGCACATTGAAATACCGAACCAATTCTTCGATGATAGGCTTCGGCAGAATTATTTGTTCGCATCGAGGGCTGAGTGGTTCTTCGATTCATATTCCAGAAACTGATTTCGAACATGGGCTTTCTTCGAGCGCGATTTGGTCGAAGCCTTCCTAAAATATAATATGTTAAAGACGATTATCGTGGAAGAAAAGTANTATTACTTACCGATATATGTTCCTTCGAAATAAGCCAATATATTTTCGTAACCGTCGCCAAGATCTATTAATAAACGTTCAAATCCGTTGATGACAGAGTTTGTTTCTAAGAATGTCAAGGCAGCTATCTTGTGGATGTTATGTGAAAATATTGAATCTGTTTGATACTAATTCTGATATCCCAGTTCCTAAATTGATAAAAATGAAAAATAAATACTCTTGAATACTAAGTCATCACGAACTTCTTTACCTGTAGTTTTCGATGTATGCTTTGTCGCAGATGGAAATAACATCCAGATAATAAGACATTAGGAAAAGCTGTTTGAAAAGCACCCATTGAAGCTTGTTCAAAGTCGAGCATGATAGTGCGTGGAGACCAACGAGGAGCGATGTTCAGTATTTCAGCGATAAGGCGTCGATATGTTTCCGCATTTTTTCGACGTAATAAAGCATAAACTAATGGAGCTACATGATCACGAAATACACCATGAATGATAAATAATTGATAGAATATTTCAGGCACGACGTTGAATGTTCCGTCGACAAGGTATTCTTCGGTATCTTGTAAAATATCGACTTGTTCATCACTTGCGAAGATTAGGATTCTGTCCTCTCCTTGATCGAAATTCGAAAGATGATAGATTTATGAAGGAATGATCTAGTATCAATTAGTAATCAATTTACCTGGTCCTGTATCACAACGAAGAAACTGATCGTTACGTATGGTTTTAGTCAATGGAATAGGAACAGAAGCAAAGTTTGGATCATTTGGTTCTTTCACTATTTGATTATTCTGCCGCAAAAGTCTTATTCGACGTTTAATATTGTCACGTACTGGTAAACGAGCAATCGATGGATCTGCCATACCTATAGTAATAATAAACAAAATGGTCTGCTAGAAAATACACAATATTCATCAGTACCTTTATAACAATTCGTGATGATGGTGTCAGGTGTTTCTTGAGTATTAACAGCGCGATGAGCAATGTGCTCATTGAAAACTCGAAGTTGAAGTGTTGTGCCATCGACTTTACATGTGTGTTTAGTTGGTGGTTTCTTAATAGCATTGGTTAAAATACAGGTATGAAGACGAGAGCGACAGCGGTCCGAGGAGTACTTTATACAACGCCAATAGGTTCTCTCATCCGAAGAGCGATCTTTAATGTAAGAATAGCCATCAAGATCAAGACGTGGCTTATTTTTCGTTGTACCGTTATTTGAAATTGTTGCCATATTAGGAAAATGTGAAAGAATAACAGAACACTTGTCTTGCAGTGTAATTATAGGTACAAGAATTAATTAGCTCATTCTCAGTGTCATCATCTAACGTGATACAATTTGATTCTCTTATTTTATTAATAATTAGAAAAAATATTATTCAGTCTTTTCATCACAGTATTCGTGCTGATTGAATGATGTGCTTAACTTTCCAGTGCTGAACTGTTCTTGTGCTCATCAGTCCACGTGATGAACTTTCACGTGCTGATTATTCCGTGCTGATCATTCCATGCTGATTTTTTCCGTGCTTAACTTGCCGGTTCCCCGACAAACGTTCGATAATGGACTTAGTATTTTTAATTTTGGGCCACTGCATTTTGTCACGAGGCTGATCGATTTTGGTTTAGGGCTATCTGTTTTTGGTTTTGGACTGATCGGTTTTGATGCTAGACGTTTCTTCTTCTTTTTATCAATTCCAGAAAGTATATACTTCGTTGTTTCTTTTCAGCTCTTTTCTTTTCACATAGCTCCTCCACGTTCATGCCTTTCGGTTTTTCTTTTCGATTTTTTACCATCTGACCAATTTCAAGTTTATCGGCTTTTAACTGAATCTGAATGGTTCGATAAAGTGATACAATCACCTCGGCTGGTCGCAGATTTGTTTTTCTTTCAAGAATCGAATTTTTTAACATACCGAAATACTTAGGGCATACCAAAAGTAGTGGCGCCGACCCTGTCATTTTTCAAAGAAGCCTTTTGGAATTTTTTTTTCTATATATTCTGATAGCCCAAGTCGAGCTCTATAATTCTATCATATTTCATAAACCTTCAAACAATATTACACAAGCAAAAGCTCTGGTATCCTTAGATTTTCTCCCGCTTNGATACATACCGAGAATGGAAAACACTGTCATTTTTCAAAGAAGCCTTTTGGAATTTTTTTTTCTATATATTCTGATAGCCCAAGTCGAGCTCTATAATTCTATCATATTTCATAAACCTTCAAACAGTATATCATATTGAAAATATACTAAAAATAATGAATGAGTAAGAAAAAAAAATTTTTTTGATGTATATTCGATGCGGTTTTATTACATTAGATGTTCAAAATAATCGCCCTGATTATTTATACATAGATGCATTCGTTCGATCAATTTATCAAAAGTCTTTTTATACTCTTCTTTTCTCAATGACTTCATAAATTTGGTTACAGCTTCATGCAACGATTCAGTGTCATCGTGATTGCCTATATTTTCTTTGATTAAATCGAATAACTAAAAGTCACATGGTGACAAATCTGGCGAATTGGGTGGATGTGGCATTATTGCTACACCTTCCGACTGCAGATAATTAATAACATCCTTATGAATATGTGGTTTTCCGTTATCATGAAGTAATTTAATTGATTGAACACCCAATACAGGCCGTTGTGTCTTAACTTCATCAATAACTGGTCGCAAACAATTATCAATATAATAATCATGATCAATCGTCTGTCTAGGTTTAACAAGATGGATCAAAAGTGGACCAGTTGACTTGAAAAAAAATGCACAAAAGACTTCTTGGAGCAAAACGACTACGTCGAACCACCGTTGGAGGAGGATCTCCACGTGCTACCCAAGCGGCATTTGATGATTTTCGGCCAATTTGCTTGTGAAAAAACCATGATTCATCGCCTGTCACCACGTCACATAATCTCCAAACATCTTGTTCAAATTTGAACAAGTTTTCTTGACATATTCGTACTCGTTCAGCCTTTTGAAAGTTTGTCAAATGTTTAGGAACGTAACATGCAGTGATTTTTTTCAATTGCAAATGATCAGAAATGATTCGTTGGATGGTCCCATGACTTATACCAGTTTCTTCTTCAAGTTCATTCACCGTAACATACGGATCTTCGTTAATAAGATCTTGAATTTGTCGAATATTTTCAGTTGTTGTCTCTGTCATTGGTCTTCCAGGTCTTTCTTCATCTTCAACATCTTCTCGACCGTCACGAAACCATTTTGACCATCGTTGAACAGTTCGAAGAGGAGGAGCTTTATCACCAAATACGGTGCTTAATTCATTATGAATAACTATCGGTTCGATATTAAGTGCAGTACGCACTTTAATATAGAAACGAAAATATTCTTTATCCATTTGAGAATAAATCAATAGTTTTAATCGTATTCTGATCTATACTGAAGACAATGTGCTTTATCGTCTTCGTTTTTTTTCTTCTGATTTTCTTCTCTGTTCTCTTTCTTTTCTCTATCCTTTTAACTTGTTTGGTATTTATTTTCAGTTATACATGCGAAATACACGTGCTCTATTTATGTTTTTCAGTTCACATAGTCAGTGCATGTATGTTTATAAAGTAAAAATTGAAAAAAGCGGGAGAAAATCTAAGGATACCAGAGCTTTTGCTTGTGTAATATTGTTTGAAGGTTTATGAAATATGATAGAATTATAGAGCTCGACTTGGGCTATCAGAATATATAGAAAAAAAAATTCCAAAAGGCTTCTTTGAAAAATGACAGGGTCGGCGCCACTACTTTTGGTATGCCCTAAGTATTATCGGACAATTTTCAATAAGTGCAACTGGTCCGACAGCAATTAATTTTTTACAATGTAAGGATTTGGTTCTAGACACCGGTTAATTCTTCTGTTTGTTTTCTATTAGATAATTCAACAAACGTGCAAACAACATATTTGTCTGCTTTAACAACGTCTAGTCCGACATTTAACCATTCTAAGAGTGCCTCCTCAGCTCGTAATTGTTACTACAAGGCTGTTCAAGTCAGTGTATCTATATCAGGTGTTTATAGTATTTCATCGAATAGTACAATCGATACGGTGGGATATTTATATAACAATACTTTCAATTATCAAAATCCGAATCAAGACATACTCATATCAGGTGATGATGAGGGTGGTAATCGTCAATTTATGCTTGCAATTATACTTCAACCTATGAAAAATTACACATTGGTTGTAACAACATATCAACAGAATATTACAGGATCCTTCCGATTAATTGCAATCGGCGCAGGATCGACTGTCTTCGTAGATTTGTAGAAAAATGTTGTCTTTGCTATTGTGCGTATTGATGTTGTTTTTCATGTTGAGTATACGGATACGAAAGAATGATTCACAGTTCTCACAAATCGATACATACCGAGAATGGAAAACACTGTCTTCAGTGTCATTTAATTGCATCTGAGATGTGTTAATATTCATGTCTGAAAACGATTATATCAAACTTTCGCATTCACTTTATCGTTCAAAAAGATTTAAAAAGTGACCAATCTCATTCTGTCATGTTTAAAATCTCGCTATACTTTCCACCAACAGTCAATACTCTTCCGTCTGTTAACAGAAATGCTGCGTGAGTGCCAAGTACAGAGTTCAAGTCACTTGTAATTGTCCAAGATTCTGTTTCAGGATCATATATTTCCGTACGATTAAAAAGACGAACTTTCTTATCGGGACGATATCCATATCCGCCAGCAACTAATACTTGGCCACTTTTCAATAGAACGGATGCATGTCCTAATCGGCCATAATTCATGTCACCAGTACTTGTCCATTTACCAGCTTCAGGGTCAAATAATTCCGCATTATAATGAACAGTCTCACTTTTGTTGCTCCCCCCAACGATTAATATTTTCCCATCTATTAACGTAGTTGCAGTATGGCTTTTTCTTGCATAATTCATATTATCGATAAGTGTCCACGCTTCTGTATCAGGATCATACAATTCAACACTTTTTAGATAAGCGCTACCATTATGTCCACCGGTAACTAAAACTTGTCCGTTTCTTAACACGGATGCCGTATGTTCTGCACGTGCATAACTCATATTACCAGTAGTGGCCCAATTTCCTGTTTGAGGATCATACAACTCAGCTGTAAGTAAGCCATTACCACTTCTGTACCCACCAGCAACTAATACTTTTCCATTCTTTAATAGCGATGCTGTGTGGTATTGTCGTACTCGTATCATGTGACCGGACACTGTCCATGTGCTTTTTGATGGGTCATACAACTCACTTGCATTTGGAAAACTAAAATCATCGCGTCCACCCGCAATTAATACTTTCCCATTTGTTAATAATGTTGCTGTGTGTGTTGATCGTTCATATTTCAAACTAGGATTAGGTAACCAAGTTTCTGACGATGGATCGTACAATTCAGTTGACCTTCGAGTATTCAAATTGTTGAATCCACCAGTTACTAAAACTTTGCCATTGGGCAACATAGTTGCTGTATGACGGATTCGTTCTTGACTCATTTCCCCAGCTATTTTCCATTCTACATAGAAAGAAGTGAACCGCCTGAAAACGATTGCTCTGGATCGAACACTCACCTAATTGCTGATTGTTAGATGTTGTTGAGATCACCGTTGTAGTTGAAGCACTTGTCGCTATACATGGAAGTAAAACAGACACTTTCACCGTCAATTGACGAGAGACTACTCACTTTTCACCATTGGTGGACATATTCGTTGATCACTCATTGATATTGGGTAGCAAACAGGACGATCAGAACATCGACGATGATGAACACAAATAGTGCCGGGCTGGTGACATGTGTTATTTGCACCATTACATGGTATTAGGTTAGAACAAAACATTGCGAGAAGACCACAAACACCAGTAGTATCCGCATCTGCCGTATGAAAACAGCCACAAGCACTATTCGTTGAGCATCGGTCATATTGAGCTACACCGTCACATATCTGTGACTTCCCTTGAGCTATGAACGAGATAAATTAATCATTGAATACATCGAATGGAAAGAGAGAATCGAACCTATGACACTAAAATGAAATTGACAGTTGATTATCGAAAAAATTAAAAGTTAAAAATAAATTTTATATACCTGAGAAGAACAATAATGAAGGAATAAATCATATTTTGTAAGGAAATGGAATGCTATCATGAAAATGTCTTTGCTTTTTATTTCTAACATACAGATGGTATTTTAATCTGTGTTACTCTTCTATTAAAACACAAGTAATTTCACTATGATGTCAGATGAATATGTTCTACGCACGTCATCAAAGCTTTCCATTGTCATAATCGTTAAATTCCATATCAAGAATCTCGATCGTTTTTTTCAATTACACTGTACCTAATCCTTCTGTAAAAATGAAACAAATGGCAACATCGGAAATATATTAGGTTGAGGAAAAAGTTCGTGCGCCACGTTAAAAAATGATTTTTTATATATTTTTTTCTGTGTT